TATATAGATATATATATATATAACTTAATTATTACTTAATAATCCTATAATCCTTGTCATCCCTTTCTTTTATGTATTAGTTGGGGGAAAAAAACATACAGTATGTGTTTTGTTTAAGAACAACTCCGGGATATTTTTTACCCCATCACTTCAAGGGTTAACCGCTCGTTTTCGCCTAGGGACTAAAATAGCAAAGTTATACTCACCAGAACCCCAGAGCCAGCCGGCTGTGACAGCACTCCCTCCAGCCTGTCTCTTCCTCTGCTGCAGAAATTGTATATTCACCAGCATTCTCATGTCCTATACACAGTGTATTTGACGTAATGACTCAAGGCTCCGTAGACCGCTGCAGCAGAGGGGGGCCGAGGCTGGAAGGTCTGGTCTAGGAGCAGGACAGCCCGGAGAATCGAGTGAATGTAACTTTTCTATTTTAGTCTCTAGACGAAAACAAGCAGTCAACCCTTGCAGCATGTCGGTAGCCCCACTGCAAAGGTTAATAAACTTTTTGCGCGGAGTTGTTCTTTAAGGCTGTTGTTTAGCTATCATGTATGACGTCACTGTTAAAAATGTTGGATGTGCGATATAGCCTGGACTTCTTTACAATAGTTACTTCAATACCATATTAAAACGTCCTAGCTTAATTTTCCCAAGATACACAACACAACTAATATTGTGGTTATTACTTTTATAGCAGCAACCTTCTCCATCAGATAGCAAAACATAAAAGTAACAATTTCCAGTGATTAAGATATTCCCACCTACTAAAATAGATGCTCACAGTTTGACATGATGTAATAACATTTTCACATACTTGTCAAGCTGAAGTTGAATGTTATCCCTGTCTGGCATGGGGAGTGTGAAATAGCAGTGGGTAGACATGGAAATGCACACTGTCAATGCACCATTTAGAAACCTAAGGCAGCAATGTGAAAGCCAGATCTGTTACATGACTTGGAGGTTGTGGTTTCAATCATTAACACACACTGGATTATTTCCCACCAATTGCTACAGGGGCTTCTAAACCCTTCACTTCCATGGAATAAGCTTTTCCTGGTAACTTGTTCGGTTTAGTTACGGGTTGCGTAATTTCTAATGTTTTTATATTAAAAACCCATATTCATTATAATCTTCAGGAATGATTTCCCTGAAGAATTTGTACAAGTTTGCAGTGAGTGACTAGAGCCCCTGTAGACATCCTGAATTGTATAGCATAGGGGACATCTCCTGCTTCTTTGCTCAGAAAGTGAGATGAATCACTAGAATCAGACTGAGACAGTCAAAATGTACCTAAAACATAACTAAACTCAAGAAAAAATGTATTATATTGCAATTAACTAGTCCTTAGTTGTGGTGTCTGCATTCGTTTTCAGAAATACCTGTTCTTGCCAGAAATCCGGTGTCCTTTACACTTCCTGTGAGCTGACATGGAAGTATATCTTATTTGTGTAAACTACAAATACCATCCCCACCGCCACACACACATCAGTAAATGAAGTCCAGCCTGGGTGGCAACCATGGCTTCCTCCATAGATACATTGTAGTGAGTGAGTGTAGCCACCCATGGACAGGAAGTGGGTTTTTGTTTGCATGATTGTTAGTAAACAAAAAAAGCCTAAAAAAAATTAAATGAATGCAGCCACCACATCTAAGGACTGCTAAGCTGCAATGTTTAGGTTTTTGTTTTGGGGTTTACGTACACTTTAAATATATGTTAATACATGTACTTTTATTAAAATGCCAGTAATAAAAAGAGCGAGAGGGGTATCAAAACTGGAGCAGGCAGAATCTGCAATTTCTCATAGTAACCAATCAGCTTGTCTCTTCAGTTTGTTCAGTTAAACTTTGACAATTATTAATAGAAGTTGATTGGTTGCCACGAACAACTGCTCCAGATTCTGTCTGCTCCAGTTTTGACAAATTTCACTCTATGTATCTTGTAGTTTCATAACATAGGGCAGAATAAAAATGTTCATCTGTACAATGACAATATTTAAAGGACAAGATCACTTTGGGAAAAAAATCCATGTTGCACATCACCTCTTCTCTCCATGTAAACTGCCCATAGAACCGCAGACCACAGACATTCCAATATTCTCACTGCCACAGCCCGCAAAGGGATGGGCAATGTTTATATCTTGTGTCAATTGCAGCATCTTCTGTAATGTGCAGCCAACAGGCCAGGACTTCATCACTGGAGCCCATAGACACACAGCTTTGGCACTCTTAGTAACACCCCTTGCAAGGATCATCTCTTTTACACAGGACATTTTCTTGTTTCCTTCGCCCAGCCCTGGCTTAGAATAGTATGATAATGTGTAATTAACCTTATAAGAGATGAGTGTTCTTACTGAGTATGCAAAAAAAAAAAAGTGTGGTCAGTAATTATGCAGAATAAAGCAGCCACATGCCAACTATACCTAATGGTAAATCTAGCCCTGCACAGCCATTACTCATTTTGGCCAGGCGTAGTACATTAGCAGTTTACAGGAGACCATTTATTATTTATTATAAGAAAAGAGAATTTGGCAAAAATACTCATGTTTTTTGACTCCCGTAATAAAAGTAAATTTAAAACTCAGACTTATTAAAGTTGAATTTTTATGCACAGTTTACACCATAAGTCAAGTTTGATTTGCATAGTGTACATGATGGGAAATGTGTGGTTAGAAAACACAGTAAACGTGCTCTGTGCCAGTAAAACTCCCATAAAGTCTCTGGAATATTTATAGCTGCCTAGATGGCAACTTCAAGGGAAAATTTAGTCATCCTATACATTTTTTTTCTTTCTTTCTTTGTTTCTTTCTCTCTTTTCCTTTTTTTATCACTGTCTCTCTCTTTCTCTCTCTTTCTTTCTTTCTCTTTTCCTCTTTTTCTTGCTGTCTTTGGGGTCTATTCACGAAGCAGCCGAAGGATCTAGCCGTAGCTTTGGCCGATCCTTCGGCTAGCTTCGGCCGAAGTAGAACCGAAGGGCTGCTGTACGGGCTATTCACTATAGCCCGTACAGCTCCCGAACTTAGCCGAGCAGCTCAGTCAAGCCGAAGGCATATACCTCGGCTCGGCTGAGCCGCGCTGAAAGCCGAAGCTGGCCGAGTGGCCGGCTATTGGCCGGCCTACAACCTGCTTCTGACAGCTGGGCAGAGCCCGCCGTGATCTTACGGCTGGCTCCGGTCACTTGCAGAGAGATCAGCATCCCTGGTTACCTGCTAACCAGGGACACTGATCTCCAGACAGCAAACTCTCCAGGGCGCTCCGGGAGTCTCCGCTCCCGGCCGCCAAGGAGAGAAACACTGCTTTTTCTCTTTGTTGTCCCAAGGTGGGCCCAAAAACACTAGTTTGACATGTTTGCCTTGTATGGCATTTGACTAAAAGCCCAATGCCCACCCATCAGTCCTTCTGAAGTCCCCCATGCCCTTTATTTGATT